ATACATACATACATACATACATACATACATACATACATACATACATTACATACATGGCTCAAGCTGTGAGCGGTTCAAGCGGGCTGCCAACGAAGACCCGCTGGTGCGCCAAGCCCCAGGCGAACATATCCAGCACTACCACAAGAAGGACGGCCCAGGAACAAGTTCATCTAGAACACATCCTTTGCCCGCAATCAGGAGAACATCTTCGACTTTCTTGTCGAGCCCTTTTACCTCTGGCAGAGCTCGCCTGGCTTCCTCCTCGGGTTTCTGGAGGGAACTGGGGCTACTTCACTGCCAACCTCCTCTGCCTGTTCGTGCTCGGTGCTCCGGTCAGTGCCCTCTTCCTAGGATTGCAGGATGCTTTTGAGGTGCCACTCCATCTGACCGATGACGGCCTTTCGATCTACCTCATGGTGCCGGAGTTATGTCACATGTCGACACAGCCAATGTACGAACTGGATTTGGCAGGACAAGCTCAAGCCCGACACCAGATGCCGCCAATGTGGCACATGGTGGCCTGTTCTCAAGGCAAGCCAAGGAGGCACGGGCAAGGGCAAAGGACAAGGTCGACCCACCAAGACAGAAGCAACAAAGCAAGCTTCCTGGCTTGAGACACCACCAGGCCTCGGGAAGTTAAAGCCTTTGAAGAAGACCAAGCTCCAGAAGGAAGCCACAGAACTCCTCGAACCGGTCTGGAGTGGCATGTCCAACGAACTACAAGACAAGCTCCAGCACCTCGGCATTGGCCCCAAGAAACCGCCAGAGCCGGATCTCCATGAGATGCTGAAAACCCACATGGCGGCTCTTCCAGCACAGGTCCAAGAAGTGGTCACCCGCCTCACCACACCAGCCCCGGCTTCAGAGCAAGACATAGCCATCAGGCTGAAGGGACAGGTCACGGACCTGAAGAACCTCTCCACGAAGAAAACACAGCTCCAAGAGAAGCTGGATCAAACAAAGCTGCAATACCAAACCCTTCTCCAGGAAATGCAAGACCTTCAACAGAAGCTCAATGATGGACAACAGGCCCTCAAGCTGTTATCCGAGGACTACATGAAGGCAGTCAACAAGGAGACAAAGCAAGCAGATTTGGATTCAGGCATGGACATCGACACATTGCCTGCAGCAGTGGAAACATTCGTAGCCAATCTTGGAGTCTCACTATCTGATGAACAAAAGACACAGCTTCATGGGCTCCTCAAGCGACCCAATGACACGGATGGTGACCTTTCCAAGCGCAGGAAAACAGACAGCCCGGCCATGGCAACACCTCCAGGGTCGGGTGGGTAACATGCACGTCATGCCACAAGGGCTTCAGGGGCTCCAGGTGCCGGTCCCCGATGACGATTTTGACAGAGCACCAACCACAAATTTGGTTTGCCGCGCTGCCTCAAACCCAGCACCGGCGGGGACTCAGCAAATGGACACTTGTGCGGGGGACAGTTCACAACACCATTTGCAGAACCTTTTTCAATACATCTCCAAGGAAACCTCTAACAAGAGTGCGGGGTCAAGTTCTCTTGTACATGAGGTTCTCCAACACAGGAGCACATTTTTGCAACACCTCACCCTCCGGCCGTTGATGGATCATCTCTTGGTGCACCTGGGCCAGAAGTGGTGAAAATTCGAGGGGGTGGAGCATCTAGGCCACCCCAATCAGGCCACCAAGACAAAGCCGCCATGCAGAGCACTTTCGCTTCGACCGCGGAGTGCATCTTGCAAAATCTCACCATGACAGTGGGCAATCCTAGTGCACGCTGCTACGCCAATGCACCATGGCGAGCTTTCACATGGACATGCGCTTTGCTGCAGGAGACCAACACGCAGCCTTGGGGAAATCTCCAAATGGCAGTTCAAGAGTCGCTCGAACTGGCTGAAGCAGTAGATATCCGTGAGCTGCCAGGCCTACATCCTCTTTGGGCCAAGCATGACCTCAACATCCAAGGAGATGCAAACCATTTCGTGAACACATTGTGGAACCACTCCCAAACGAGGGCATTCCACTACAGGTATGCAGAGATCCAAACAGGAGGCTACCTCAAGGATCACATCCAACAGCCCATCTTGGTGGACTTCCCAGATGACTGGCCGGAGAACACCAGCCTACAGGATCTCTACAATGGTTGGGCCAACACAGGACTTGGACAATTCCTGCTCGACGACAAGCCAGTGCTGATCTCCCACATCACCCGCAACACATGTGTGGAGGGCATCATGACGAAGCATGCCAAGATCCTCAATCCATATGGCACCTTCACGGTCCCTCGCTCCTTGGATGGCTTCGCAAGAGAATCTGCAGAGTTTGTGCCAGCGGCTCTGATATGCCATCGTGGACCCAGCCACAACACAGGCCACTATTTTGCCCTCATGTACAGAGATTTGATGTGGTTAGCCGATGATGGGAGACCACCAGTCCACCTGGAACACCTAACTCCACTCCTGGCCAGCCAGGTCACACAAATCTGGGCGGTGCACATTGACACCTTTCGAACGACGCAACAGGTCATACGATCGCTCCCACCACCAGAGGAGCCGGACTATGACCCACCTCTTCACCCAAGCCCAGAGAAGCGACCCCGTTTAGAACAAGAGCATAGCCAGTTGCACTTTGCCAATATCACAACCTGTGGCAAACAATTTCTGGACTGGTTCTGGGCCCGGCAAAGCGAGGTGCACATCTTTGTTGAGACTCACCTTGACCCTCAACGTCACCAGGAAATCTGCCAATACTTCAGCATTAGAGGGAGAGTGGCCTTTGGAACACCGGCACAGGTCAACCAAGAAGGCACTGGCAATTCAGGTGGCATCCTCATCCTTGGGGACCAATCCAGCGGGCTGACACCACTTGCAGCCTACACCCAGCAGGGATGTGGATTCCAAGCTTTCCTTTGGCAGGCCACTGAATGCACAATCCTCGTTGCCGGAGTATATATGAAGACTGGGGAAGGCCTCCAAACTGACACCAATGCCACTATCCTAGCCAAGCTACTGGCCCTGGTTGAAGCCACAAAACACCCTTACATCCTCCTGGGAGATTGGCAAAACAGCCGTGCTGGTCCCTTCCAAGTACCACTTTGATGTCAAGGCCCCAGACCACAGCATCCTCTCTGGCAACGTTCTCGACTATGCTTTGCTGCACAACACCTTGGCACCGAACACGGCACTTACTACGGAATGGGCTGTGCCTTGGAGACCACATGCACTGATCACTTTGCACCTCAACATCGAAGCAGCCACCAAAGAATACAGGCAGATCCAGTACTACCCTCCGTTGCCGGCGACTCCAGATATTGACTTTCGGCCATGGACATCCTACCAGTCACAAGCCTATGAGATTGAGTTGTACGGCATTCCACCCAATGAGCAGGCACAAAAATGGGCTGACTGGATCTCTTGCACCGAGCAATACCTCCTCCAGGAGCACCCCTGGGCAGCTCAAGGACGTGGAGCAAGCCTGAAGGTCAGCATCAAACCCTTGGTGTCCACCCAAATCTCCACCACGTGGAAAAAAGGGAAGCCAGCCTTTTGGGAACAGCTGAAAGCCAGATTCCAGCTGGCGATGAAGCAACCGGCCACGGTTCAAACAGGTCCACTTCGAGGTTTCACGCAGGCCCTCCAAGATGTTCCAAAGCATTGGGTCGGACCGCCAACCTGCGGCCAGTTCTTTGACACCAGTCACCACTGGTACCGCTACAGAGACACCCATGCAGCAGAGTTGGTGCTGCAAACCATAGCCCATCAGCTCCGCGAAGCACTACAAGCAGCCAATGAGGAAGCCCACCTCCAGTACAAAGACTGGCTCAAGCAAGGAGAGGCCAAAGGGCTCAGAGGTCTATTTCGGAGCCTCAAAAGCAGTGAACTAGCCTGGGAGCGGCCCTACAGAAACCTCCCACCGGATGAGAGGATGACGCAAAGACTTCAAGACTGGGGAAAGTTATGGCAGATCAGGCAAACGGAGCAGCCACACGAACGACCCAGTCTGCAAACACAGGCCAGACAACAAGCACTACAACTTGAGCCCCTCACTGTTGACCACCTGGCCTCGGTTCTCAAGCACCTTCCGGATAAGGCATGCGGACCTGATGCAGTGTCAGCCCAGCTTCTGCGCACAGCACCCCCGTTGGCACTGCAGCCGCTTCTCAAGCTGTTCCAAGACATGGAGCACCAAGCACAGCTGCCAACACAACAACAGATGCACATGGTCATCATGTTGCCTAAGACCAGCGCCAAGGAGAGGCCCATCACACTCACCTCCCTTCTGTACCGTGTGTGGTGCAGACTCAGAAAACCAGTGCTGGACCAATGGCAAAAACAGCTGCCACCCACAATGCAACATGACAGAGCCAGACCGGGCGCCCAAGTCCTGCAGGTGGCTTTGGAAAGGCTACTCCGCCAGGAGGTCCACAAGGCCAATGGATGTCATGGAGTCACCTGCCTAATGGACATGAGCACGTTCTATGACACCATCAACCTCACCAGACTCCAACAAGAGGCACTCCGGCTAGACTACCCACCCCTGATGTTGGAGCTAGCCATGCAGCTGTACACGGGCCCCAAAGCCATCCTTGCGGAACAGGAAATGACTCCCTTTTTCACCGTCCAAAATGGAGTCCCAGCTGGATGCCCCCAAGCACCCTTGTTGGCCAAGGCCGTGTTGGCACCAGCGCTCCAACCATGGCAGGTCCAACACCCCTCTCGAGCTGGGTTGATGATGTCGGCTTTGACACGGCTGGACGATCGCCCATGGCTGTGGCACAAAAGGCAGTCAATGCCTACAGAGACATGCATCGCCGACTTGTTGAACTGGGCCTCAAAGTCAACCCACAGAAAACAGCATTCATAGCAACCGACCGCAGCACCGACAAAGCACTGCGTGAGCTCCTTCAGCCAGACGAGCCGCCTGTTGCGACGGTCATGAGGGACCTTGGAGTAGACCATCAAGGGGCCAGGCGACGAAGGATACCGGTGATGAAACACAGACTGGCCAAAGCCCACAAACGCAAGGTCAAGCTTCGCACTTTGCGAATTCCCACTCTGAAGATCCGACTCCGCCTTCATCGTGGAGGAGTACAACCCGCGGCACTATGGGGAGTTGAAGGCCAAGGCCTGGCCCCACGATACCGGCAGGCCTTGCGCCAAGCCATGGCCAAGCATCTTGGGCATCATACTGGCGGCCTGCTGGACAACACCTATGACCTCCATCAAAAGAAGTACATTGATCCAGCAGACCAGGTCATCATCCACCATATCAAGGCTATCCATAGCCTTATACAAGCCTGGCCCACTGAACAAATGGCAGCACTTGAGCAGGCCTGGGAGACCACATTTCACCAGCTGCACACCAAACAATACCCGTGGTACACAGTCCGTGGACCCATGGCAGCGGCCATCACCTACCTCAAGGAGTGGGGCTGGCAGGCCAACAACCTGAGGAGATGGACGAGGGCGGAGACGCCACTAATGCTTAGCAATGAAGTTGACATGCACCAGCCTTGGTGGAAGGTTGAGAAAATCCTCTTACTGGAAGCCAAAAACCAGCGCACCAACCGGCTCGCCAGCAGACCTTTCCACCACCACCTCATCACGGGCATTGACTGGCACACGTATCATGAAGTCAAGAAGACTCTACCAGCACAACACAGGCACCACCTCAACACATGGACCCAAGCAGCTGTCCAGTTTCGGGAGGCTACTAAGGTCAAGCAATGCCCAATATGCCAAGTAGAGGCCACGCCTAAGCACATCCTCTGGCTCTGCAAATGGCACAAATCCCAGAAGCATGAAGCCATGCCGCCAGAATGGATGGAACGGATCACATCCAAGGAAGAAGAACCTTTGTGGTCCACAGGCTGGGTTCCCTTGGAGCCCCAAGAGCATAAACACCAAGAACACCCGTACCAAGGACATGGATGTTGGGCAGACCTGGGGACGATAGCACCCACACCGTATAGCGGCTGGGCCTACACGCTCGATGCCACACCGTCCACCTATGATGACAGAACACAGCTCTGGGTGTTCGGGCTGTGCGCACACACCATGGCCCTCGGCCAACTCAAACGCTTGGGAGCGCTCACTGGAGTTCCCAAAGGCGATCAAACTAAAGCCAGGGCTTTGCTGGCAGGAGTGGTGGCCCTGGCCAAGCACACCACCACACCAGCTAAGGTGATAGTCCAGATCGCCACTGTGTGGGAAGCTTGGCACCAGCCCCGCAGCCGACCACCCTTCCAGGACATCCTAGAAGACATCACAGACCAGGACTACAGCCGCATCTCCGTGCTGTACATTCCAAGGCAAACTCGAACCCCAGACGCACCAGGCAATGAACCCCAGCTCCGAAAGCGCCAAAGGGATTCAGCACTGGCAGCATGGGAGCGTTCCAAGCAATTCCAGAACCCCAAACAAGATGAATGGCAGGAAATTCTCGATGCCGACCACCGACAAATATACCGCCATGCGATCCAACGGCTGGCCAAGATCTTCGACGACCCACAACATTACATACACCAGAAAGCTCCCAAGCACCAAGGCAAAAACACCAAGAACTTCAAGAGGGACTTGGTGAGGCAATGTGCCAACAAATGGACAGACAACCATCACAGATGGGAGCCCCACCGCAGCGGCTACCAGTGCACAGCGTGTGGAGCCAGAATGCACCAAGGCTTGACCAAAGACATTCTGGAAACCCGCCTCCAGGAAGACTGCCCGCAGGTCAAGCTAGCGGATGTCTACAGTCAGCCGGCCAAAGAAGAACCATTGACCAAGAAACCCACAAGGGCACAGCTCATCAAGGACCTCCTGCACAGACAACACCAGCAGCCACCAGCACCGGAGGAACACCAATATGCTGAAACCACTGGATACATCAAGTGCCTGAAATGCGGGGTCAACACCCACAAACGGGTCAACGAAGAGGCATTCCAGACATTCCTGGCTTCTCCATGCATCGATCGACCCTTTCCACAGCCAACACAAGCACACTCCAGTCACTCCCTCTGGCAGAAAGGAGAACGAGTCCGATGCATCCAATGTGGAGCAGCATGGAACCTGGATGCTGAGCAACGCATCATCACAAACCAGCAGCTCAGCAAGGTCTGCAAAGGAGCAAGTGCCAAGGGATCACCTCCGCTCAGTGACTTCTTCAAGACATCCTCACAGACGAAGAACCGCCAGTCGTCCCAGTCATGAGAGATCTGGGCATCGACCACCAGGCAGGCAGAGCCCGCAGGATCCCCATCGTGAAGCAACGCACGCAAAAGGCACACCAACGCCGACTCAAGCTCCGAAATCTGAAGATACCTGCATTACGAGTCAGACTCAGGTTGCACCGAGGAGGCATCCAACCAGTCGCAAATATGTTGAAAGTCAGGGCCTGACACCAAGGTACAGACAAAGCCCTCCGACAAGCCCCGATAGCCTGCAGAATGGGGTTGGAACGTCCAAGACCTTCTCCACTGGACCAGACCAGAGACAGAGCTCATGCTAGCCGCTGAAGCCCACATGAATGAACAATGGTGGCAGTTGGAACATTTGTTCTACAAGGAAGCGCAGCAGCAGCGTACCAATCGATTTGCACGATGTCCCAACCACCAACGCTTGCTCACAGGGCTGGACATGCACACGTACAAGCAACTCAAGAACAAGCTAGCAAAGGCGGCATCTTCAAACCTGGGTTCAGGGAGCCCTTCACTTCAAAGATGCCACGGGCACCAAGCCACGCCCCATTTGTCAGGTTCCAGCTACACCGAAGCACGTGTTGTGGCTGTGCAAATGGCACCGCAACCAACAACACCAGCCCCGCCCACCTGAATGGTTGGAGCGCATCACCAGCCAAGAGAGGACGCCCTGTGGTCGAAAGGCTGGATACCTCTTGAACCACAAGACCACCTGCAACAGGTCCACCCATACCAAGGGTATGTGGTGTGTGGAAAGAGCTCCAACCCATAGGCCCTGACCAGTATGCTGGCTTCGCCTTCACCTTGGACGCCACACCGTCCCACTATGACCACCGCAGCCAGATCTGGGTGTTTGGGCTTTGCCTCCACACCCAAACGATGGGACAACTGAAGCGACTCGGAGCTATCACAGGGGCTGCCAGCGGGCCACAATCCAAAGGACGAGCACTCTTTGCAGGCCTCGTGGCATTGGCAAAACACACAACCACCCCAGCCAAAAGTGATTGTGCAGCTCAGCACGGTCTGGGAAGCCTGGCAAAAACCGCCCCACAGGCACGCGTACCCGGATCTCCTGGCAGAGGTCACGGACCAAGACCGCCACCGCATAACCGTCCTCTACACCAGCCACAACACCAGGACCCCGAACGCCCCAGGCAATGAGCCTCAACTCAGAAGGCGCCAGAGAGATGCGGCACTGACTGCCTGGGAAAGGGCTGATGCTCTCCACGACCGAAGACAGACATCCTGGCAAGCTACACTGGACAAGGACCACAAAGCCATATACCTCCAGGCAGCTCAGCGACTCGAGAAGATTTACCAAGACAAACAACACTACCTGCACAACAAGGCAGACAGACAGCCAGGCAAGCACACCAAACAGAGAAAAAAGGATCTCATCCAACTTTGCACCAAGCCCTGGCAGGAGCCGCATCACCGATGGGCTCCACAACGAAGTGGGTATGCGTGCACCGCATGTGGCACGCGCATGCATCAGGGCCTCACAGCACAACAGCTTGAAGAACGATTGGCAGAAACATGCACCCAACAGCAAGCGGACCAAGCATGTCCCACACCAGGTCAGGAGGCCCCTCAGCCAACCAAGAAGCTCACCAGAGTACAGATCATCCGCAATATCCTCCAGGCTCAAGTCAACAAGGCACCAGACTCCGACCAGCACCACTTTGAGGAGACCAAGGGGTATCTCAAATGCACAAAATGTGGTACCAGCGTCCACAAAAGAGTCAACGAACAGGCCTTCAATGACTACATCCAAGGAACTTGCCTGGACTAAAATCAGCTGCACCCTCTGCGGCATGCAGCTACATCTGGACAGCAATCGACGAATCATCAGCTCCACCAACTTCCTCAAGGAATGCCGAGGAGCTGGAACCAAAGGATCAACACCGATCCACACTTTCTTCAAGCCCACCCCTCCTACTCCAGCTGCAGGGGTGCAAGCGGCAACACAACCAGAGTTTGCTACGCCACCGTCCACCACTGGACCCCGGCCGAAACGGCTACACTTCTCAACGCCTCTCACGGCCCGAGAAGACACAGAGGAACTGGTACAGGCCATGACACCCAGCCAGAACACCGGAAGCCAGCATTCTCGCAAAACGGCAGCGCTGCCAAAGACAGAGCCACCACAAGGCCATGCAGTTGATGCAGCGGAAAACCCCGAAAGAAGAAAGCCGCACGGACGATGAAATGATGCATGTGGACTACTTCTAGGTCTTCGACCTGATGGACCACACAGCAGCAGCCAAAATGGCTTTCGTTCTGCAGAGAGAAAGAGCCACTCCAGGAAAAAAATACATACATACATACATACATACATACATACCCAAGGAGGTATATTGACTAGCTGCTTCGCAGAACCTTTTCTTGTATATATATAGATGAAAGCCTATTCTGAGGTGACGGCAAGGTGGATGACGCCCCACTGGCTCGGCTTTTGCGGAAGCTTTTTCAAAAGCTGGGCAGTACCTATGTGACGCTTGGATGTGCAAAGCATCTCATGTTCGACACCTTAAGAAATGTGATTCAGTTTTTTTGCACATCTTCCAAACGAGTGGTTGTATCTCCAAAGTCATTTCTCATGTTAATAACATATTGAGGCATATTGAAACCACAGCCGTAGACTATTATAGACTGGAATCATATCCCCGTCCGAGAAAAGCCTATAAAATGGGAGGCCCTAGGGCCCAAAATCAGGGGGTCATTCTATAGAGAGGTTTTTTTTGAGCCTGGACAGGCCCTACGCATTTTATAGAAAGGCAAAAGTAGAGGCATGATTGTTGAGATGTTGCTGCAAGACCCTGTCGTTTTATAGATGTACATTTGCATTTTTTTCCACTTGTTTTTTGGCTGATCACGAAAGGTAGCTTGAGCTACCTGAGTTCTCCTTGCTTTAGCAAAAATGTATTACAATCAGGAGTTGGGATTGTGCATTGAGTTTGGTCCGGTAAGAGTTGATTCTGTTCGTCGGGGGGGGGCCCCCCCCCTGGATCAAATCCCCCCTGCGCCGGTTCACGCCGTCATGGACTTCTACCAGGGTTACTTGTGATTGCCTGCTACCTTTCGTTCACCCCCTCCTCTCTCAAGTTGCATTCTATAGAGACTCACTTCGGACAGAAAAACATTTTTATAGAGGGGATGGTTTGGTAGAATATGACATAGTAAACATTAGTAAACATATGCCAACCAAGAAGCATTTGGCTCACCGGATGAGCGAGTTTCTCTATGGAATGGTCTGCCCAGCCCCAGGGTGTATGATTTTCAATCTCGACAACGTGCTCTCTATAAAATGATTTCCAGGGGTCGTGATGGAATCTATTGCTGCCTAGCTTGGCCTGGGCAGAACATTCTATAGAGGTCATTGCTTGAACACTGATTTCGGATGTTGTTTTATTTTTTCCTCCAAGACCCTCCCATTCTATATAGCACCCCTTTTGTGAGCACCAGGCATTCTATAGAGATTTTTCAGAGGCCCAGCGTTTTATATCTATAAAATCCCTTGTCCAAGCCCTCCTGGGTTATTCTTACCGGGATGGAATCATAGAATCAAGCCCAAGGTGAAGCCAACTCGATCAAGCACCAAATTTCCCGGTTATCCCCTTTGCAACTTGACCACTCATGCCAACACATTGATTTCACTTGCCACACCGTACTTACCACCAGTCTTCAGTAACTTACAGGTTCGCGAGCCTTTTTCCAATCCCTTCACCACCTACCCAGGTCCGAGACCAGAGGCGAGCCCGTCATTTCGCCGATCCAGGGTGATCCATAGAATTACAGACCTGTCTTCCCTTCTTTGTCCTTTGTTTCCAAGAGCGATGGCCTCCCCCTACTAGCGATGGCCGACAACCTAATAGCTCCACAGAGCTCGTATGGACTTACCAAGGAAGCTGGGGCAGTTCATCGCCTCGTCACCTACCTTATTCCCGGCGGCCTATGTCCGGGAGTTCCAGCAATGCTTGGACCGGACAGAGCCCACCAGCTTCCGGGCCATCCAGCGGACTGTGGAGAAGGCGGGATTAGAGGAAAGGGTCAACCGATGAGGATGGCGGGTTGAAACACGTTGAAACCTGTTGGGCCATGATGGGTCATGCTCGGAGGTTGAAATGAACATCGATGAAATATGTGTTTTTTCTCGAACTACATTGCGTTTTGACGGGCAGCGCTGCAGTGCCGCTATATTATAGACATCTAGAGACTCTACAGGTTTGTCATGGTTTGTCAAAGCAAATGAGGAACTTCTTCCGCCAATTCATCCGCGTTCCCGAACCGTACTATGTTGCTATGTCATTCACTTGTCATGGTTTGTCTTTATCGGGTATATATTTTTTTTGTTGTCCATGCCTTTGATTTTTTGGATGTATAATCATATATATATATATTATAATGTATGTATAGCCATTCCCGCAATCATACAAACAGTCACCCGTTCAGGGATCAAGGGAGGCACCAAGTTTGACCTACACACCGACCCAAGGGTAGAGACCCTTTGGATCACATTTGATCCATTTACCGAAACAACATGACCAACGCATACTGAACATATCTATTCTTTGATTCATAGTTTGTATCCTGTATGAAAATGAGATGATCCTGGGATATCCTGGGCCACTGATGTGGTTTCATTTACTTTTTACAACGGGAGCCGTTTGGCTTGGGGTCCTCCTATGTTGAAATCTGCTTCCCTTACTAGAGGAAGCATTGCCAGCAGATGAAGAGTTGACAAACTTCTGAACATGACCGGAATTCAGGAGGGAGCCTCCATCAACCTTCCATTCATATTAACTGGTTGGATGGTGGCTCCAAGAACAGGATCTCCAAAGCACTTCCATTCGTCCGAGGATTTGGGCCGTCCCATCTCCGAGATCTTCCAATCTTTCGAGGAGGAGCCCTTGGCATCGGCCTCAGTGGCGCAGGTGCACCAAGCCGTCCTGAAGACTGGAGAACGTGTGGCGGTGAAGGCCGGAGCTGCGGCCGGGTGGCGGTGCCGAGGGAGGAGGAGAAAGTAATGATCTCCAAAGGATTGATTGAACAAGTATGGTAGCTAGAATGGTTGCAGTTCAGAAACTCAATAGCAGTCTATTGGTACTTGAGGAGCAATTATGATTGATTGGTCACGGGCCAATATGTAATGTAGTCAAAGTTTATGACTTTCATGCAGGTATATATAATGCTCTTACGATAAAGGTGCGGACAAAGATCCATCACTTGGGTTGGCCCTCCCTAGAGTAAACTCCTCCTCCCCGCCGAATGGGCATATACGTGCATGGCCTTGCGTGGGTTGGACCTGCTGTTGCCAGAGAAGGCCATGTTTGGGATGTGCCGGTACCAGTTTTGTCACAAATCATGCATTGTTTCATCAACTGTTTCATTTCTTCCTTAATTAGCCCCTTTGTTATTTTGTGGATCATATTTTTGGTGACAGGTAACAGCAAGGGGACAGCTGAAGTGAACGGCAAAGACGATGCATTCTGCCCTTGAATTGTAATTGTAACGCTGTTCACGTGCGACTGGCGAGTGACGTGGAAAGACCATGTGATATTACTACAGGGATTTGATTGGATTTGGTGTGATGGTTTGTTTGACTCTATTGTAGATTCGACTTGCTTGGGAATGGAAATCTTATATGTTTGCCTTGTTGATATGGACAAACAACGTCCATGGAACGAGATTGGAATCACATTTGTTGCTCTCCAAGAAATCAGGAGTCAAATGGGGGAGTTGGAAAAGACAATTCACATGGCTTTTTGGCAGGTACAGAAACCTGGAGTAGATCGAGTGCTCAAGGCAGACTTGGGTTTTCTTTTCATCGCTGCACGCACCTTAGAGTTTCTTAGTCCAGAGCTTGCTACTTGGCTTGTTTCAGAGCACCACTTTGTTCAGACTTTTTCGGACAGCTTCCTGAACGAACGGCTGTTCATTTTTGTTCCCCAATGTTATTGTTGTCCACCGCAAGGAAGCTCACCAGCAACAACCTGCCCAAGTCAGACGGTCATGTATCTCATCTCTTCTCATCAACCGCTAGCCTATTATGCATTTCTTCACGAGTGGCCGCTTTCATGAGTGGCCACTGAGTTGATGGCAAATACATATACACAAAATGGTTTCTTGTGAGATGCTTTTTCTATACTTCATTTTCTTGCTGTTGCTAGTCACGGATTGTTTTTCCCGAATGCGTAGCGAAGGGTTCCCGTTTATAGTTGGGGGTGTGGGGGTTGGACCTGTGTTTGCATGGCTTGCGTCGTGTCGTCGTCTCTCGTCGTCTCTCGTCGTCTGTCGTCGTCGTGTCGTCGTCGTCGCGTCTCAAATTTACTGCCATTGGGGGAAGCTTTTGCAAGTGACTTTTCATGGATGTGGTACGTGTCAGTTTCCGCCGCTATTCCATTGTGATTTGCATGAGAATGACATGTCGCGTGAGAGACGTGATGCATTTCGCTGCACAGGCACAGCGTTTTGTGAGATCCGCAGTGTGCTGCGCAGTTCCATTGGGATTAGCGTCTGGAAAGTCGTGTTTTTGGGGTGTTGGATGTGGCCGTGCCATTGGTATTTGCGTTTCAGGGTGTGGCATCGAAGCTCGGTTTTCGTGACAAGTCTCAGCTGAAATGCCGATTTTGGTGGATGGGAGTGTGCTCAGAACGGGTCGAAATCATTCCAAACATGTGGTGTGGTGCAGATTTTGTTGAAGCTTACATGAGACGGTATTGTCATTTTTCGTGGCAGGCGCAGGACTTTGTGCGGGTTTTGAGGTATGGAACTGCGATTTTCGTGGCCGCCGGTTGCGAGGTGTGACGGACATTTCGTGGCAGGCGCAGTACTTTGTGCGCGTTAGACGTGTGGACGCGGAAAGAGTGTCCTACAAGAGTGTCCCAGAAGAGTGTCCCACAAGAGTGTCCTACAAGAGTGTCCTACAAGAGTGTCACAAGAGTGTCCTACAAGAGTGTCCCACAAGAGTGTCCTACAAGAGTGTCCCACAAGAGTGTCCTACAAGAGTGTCCCACAAGAGTGTCCTACAAGAGTGTCCCACAAGAGTGTCC